TCACAATGCCTTGGATTTTGTTGTTCATGCCAAAAACTCTAAAGTTAATCAAAAGCAATGAGAGCAAGAAGCTTGAGCCACCCAACACATATTCACCTACTGGAATAACCGGTGCCATAAAGGCAAGGCCAAAGGATAATGCAAAAATAAGTTATCTAATTATTTCTCATTCCTGCACATAATACACTATTGAAGGGAAAGATAAGAAGTGGGTCTTCCTTTTTTGAAAGATGTCATTAGTTATAAGACTCTTATGAGCCGAAGTCCACACAAAAACCTAGAATGATGGAGAAAAAGAGCATTATGATTATCAATTATCTTGTTGAAAAACGATTTGTCTGAGAAGATCGTCAGCAAATGAATTGAGCAAACCCACTTATCATTGATAATGGGCCTCAAGGAGAAACCTTCAAGAATGCTCAAAATGATGCCAACTCAACTATTCATGATCATTAAGATTTATAAACAAATAATTAAATTCCAAGATATCAGTGCTGATTGGGAAGAACACCGAAGATGCAATGGAAATATTATGAAAGTGGACCAAACAGTACAAGTGTGGGAACAAAACATCAGATGAAGAATCCCCAACCCAAGTGTCTTCTCAAAAAGGAACACTCCCACCAATTTCTACCCTCAAAAGAAAAGAAGCAGGACAAAAGAGGAAGGATATGAGAGAGAGATTTCCACGGAAACCAACCATTTACCCTGTTAACCACAATAGAATCCCCTCCTATTAGCATAAAGCTCACATTTACTCTTAAAAAAATGGAATGCCAAAGAGCGTTGCACTCGTTGGAAAATCTCCATAGCCACTTTCTAAGCAAAGCAATATTTCTGACTACAATATTACCAATAACAAGATCCCTTCTTTCTTTATGGCTATGAAGCATGGACACTCCAAAATCAGTGCCGTGGCGGTGTCCGACACATGGACACGCCAGCTGGCGTGCCCCTTTAATTTAATGATTTTTTTGTAGGGGACACGTGTGTCCATATCGGGACATGGCATGGGACACGGCGGGGCTCACTTTTTTTTTTCCCTCCCTCTTATTTAGTGCTTATGTGAAGAATATTGTTGAATGTTGAATGTTGAATGTTTTCCCCTTCTTATCTTAGTTCTTGTTATCGTTTATTATGACTTTTTTGTGGATGGATGATCTATTAATTTGTTTAAATGTAGTGTTTATATTTATTGAATTAATGTTACTATGTTAGTGTTTATTAATTTTAATTTAGGATGAATGTAATATGAATCTACATAACACATATTAATATATAATAATAAATAATAATAAAAATTTGCTATGTTCCCATTTTTTGGAAATTGCCGTGTATCGTGTCGATGTCCGTGTCCGTGTCCAAGCTCGTGCTCAGCTTCATAGCTTTAGGGAAGAGATTGTTTTTTTTTTTTTTTTTCTTTCCCAATTCACCAATAATCCCTCTCCCTTCACCTTTTCCTTCCCACTAGAAATCACTCAACCATTTTCTCAAATTTATTTACGACCTCAACTGGAACCTTAAACGATAATAATATATTGGAATATTGTTCAAAACTTACTACACTAGGGTACACCTACCTCCTCTAAAAAACTATGTCATATTCCAACACTCGAGTCTCTTAGCAATTTTCTTTAACATTGGGGCCCAAAATGACTTCTCCGGATTAACCCCTCAATGGTAGCTCCAAACACTTACAAGGAAGATGGTCAATGGGACACCCAATAGACCGGCTAGCCTCTATAACCTATCCACTTGATAATTAATACCCACAATATTGTTCTATTCAAATTAAGTATAAGGTCCTATCTCTAAAAAATAAATAAATAAATAAATAACTATATACCCGAGATCATCTCAAAAACTCTCAAGACCAAAAGCATATTGAGCCTTTGTTTAGGATGTGAGTTGGCTTTTTGACTATTTTAGCCTGAGACTAAAAAGCCTCATTTGGGATAGTCTTTTTGACTTTTTTGAGAGAAAATAAAATGATTATAGTTTGGATGTGACATTTTGTCTTATTGGGCTAAAACACCTATTTTATCCTTTTGTGGCTAAAATAGCCCCAACCCAACCCAACCCAACCCAAACCAAACCAAACCTTCATGCCAAACATAGCCTGACGACCTTATCTTCCTCCCCAAAATAAAAGAAAATAGTATCATCTGCGAACTTGATCCCTCCCTATAATGAGTATACATCAACAAAGACCAATTATTGTAATGTCATTGAAGTGCATGTGTCAATATGTTATTATACTGCATTAAACTCAGTTTCCAAAAAATGAGAAACATGGGTTTTAAAAAGCTTTTCAAAACTTGTGATTGTATGATATCTCTCTCTCAAAAGCTGGAAGTTTGTGTTGCTTATTAAATCAAAAATCCTAAAATCAATTTATATAGCTTTTCTAAAACAAAAATCTAATTTTGGGCAAAATCCACGCGCACGCTACAGGCACAACTCACAAGAGTTTTGTAGGTTACAACGTGCTTCAAGCATATTTTAGGCAGTGGAAGAGGGGCTCCATAGGGCACTTCTCAAGACTAGAGAACATTTACTTATGATATTACATGTAACTAATGAAATAACTCCCATTTGAATTCCATAAAAATATCAAAATAATGTAATTCCTATAAATATATAGTCAACTCTCTCAACCAAAAACAAAATTCAAGATTCTTAGTATTGACTAAAAATTGCAATTTCTCCAAAATAAGGAATTTATCATAACCTAAAATGTTATAGGTTTTTTTTTTTTTTTTTTTTTTCCAACTATGTGAAAAGATTGGTCGTAGGAACTATGAGAAGCAAAAGAATAATATCAAATTATTGTATTAACAGCTCAATCAATTTAAAAAGATGGTTCACACATCAAATAGAGAGAAATCATAAAAACTTCAAATACAAAAATACCATTATACTAAATATGAAACAGTCCGATAACTAAAAAATACAATATTTCATACCCCTACCCCCCTGAGCATGTGCGAGTTTTTGTGAAGTATTGATAATTAAAATAATAATCAATCTATGTGCTTTGTGTGCTCATAGAATACAAAGTTGTGAGATATCTGGATGATGCTCTTATTGTCACAATCGAAGGGGTAGGAGACGAGAAAGAGAGACACCCAAATCAAAGAGCAAATAGAGCCAAACAAACTCAACTATAACATGAGCCATAACAAAATATTTGGCTCAGCTGTAGAAGGAACAATGGCAGATTGTTTCGTTCTCTGTTACCATGTTATAACACCACTAATTCCAAAACTTAAGCTGTTTGACAATGGGCCCAACATTGTATATCGAGTTAGCTATCCAACGCCCTCCCTTGTCTTGCACGTGGAGAGATAAATAGACAACCAAAGTAAGTTTAAACAACATATAAAACAGGGGACCAAATGCAAATGAAAAAATTTTTAACACAAGACCTCCAAGAACAAAAACTCTTATACTGGGTAGGAAAAGAGGGGTTAATGTTGTATTATTGTATTAACACAATGGTTTACACTAATTAAACAGAGAGAAACTGTAAGAACTGAAAATACAAAAATACGCTTATACTAAATATGAAATAACCTTATAGGTAAAAATACAACACTTCACAGGGAACTTCAATTCTAGAAGTTTCAATATTTTAATTATTCACATCTGTTCCGAAAAACTAATTGTCGGAATTAATTTTTTCTATCTAACTCGATTCCCACATAGCACGCTAAATACTCAACGGAAAAATGTGTCCTGATCTAATGTCTTGGATTAATGTTATACGTTCATGTAATTTTACTTTAGATTGGATTGGAGCATATGCATCGCATTGCCTCTGGACGTCTTCAATATTCTGCACTTGGACCCTCAAATCTATACACCTAACCTAGACACCTAGCACACGCTTTATTTATTGATATTGTCAACACACTAAATCTTACAACATATATGATGTTTATTTAGAATATTCTAACCATTGGATTAGTAGTTAAAAAAAACGACGTCCAATTAGTACACATTAATGTGTTTGGGAGGGGAAAGATTGCTAAAAAATATTCGAATTGTTCTATTAAATCCAACAAAACAAAAAAAAAGTTTTTCAACCCCAATCAATTGCTCTCCTAGATCTCTGTTTGCCTTCCTACTCCTCAATTCCTTCTCTCGTCATCACCTCTCTCTCTTACACCATCGATGAAACATTAAATCTCTACCAACGTCGCATCCCAAATTTGATCTTCACCTCATTGAACTCCATCAATTTTCTGTTTGAAACCATGAGATCAAGTTCATTCAGAAACACAAAGCCTTTGTATGTATATTTGTGTATATATATATACATCTTAAAATATATAATTATTGGTTGGTTCAAGATGGGGTGCAACTCAGGCTGGTTTGACTGGGTTGGTTCAATGGAACATTTCTTCTAATTCGATGCTTGAGTTCTCACTAACCTAAACTTCAGAAATTCTTTTCATTTCCTAACTTCTCTAAGGCAAATTACCAACAAAAAAAAAAAATGCATTCCACTCGTGATGGGGATCAAAGATTGGGTAAGCAAATTGAAAAGGAATGCATAGTATAAATTTTCATATACTGTACCACAAAGAAGGTCCTTTCGGTAAGTGATCATGAAAATGGGGTAGTTTTGTCCAAAACCTGAGAGGTTATTGTTGCAGGATATAAGGCAGGATAACTACATGGTCTTGTAAAGGAGTAAACACCAGTTACACCTATGGTGTTGGAAAACTCTATACACCAGTTACGCTTAAATTGTTGGAAAACTCTATAATAAATGACATCTCTTTCAGAGAATATATTAAAATTGAGGTCAACCATGGAAAATAGAGAAGTTTTGCAATGCTTGTACAGTTAAACCACACTCCCCTATCCTAATCTTAATAGAATTATGGCAAAAGAGAATTCTCAGAAAGAAACCATTTTGAGTTTCTTAGGAAATTTCTATTCATCTAACAGGATACTCAAATGCATTTATTTGTGCCACAGAACTCAAAATATGATTCAAAAGAAATATTTCCTTTCCTCCAACTACTCTTAATCCATCAAGGAGAACAACCAAATATCATCCACAAAGCAGAACATCTCATAATAAAATTCATAACAATCCTACAAAACTCAGTCCTAGCTATTGATAGTTATGAAGATAGCCTCAGAAAATGTCCACGACATCGGGTTGGTAGAATAAAAAGAAGACTGTACAAAAGAAAACCTAGCAGCCAGGCAGCTCAAGATTTTCCGTACTTAACAACATATCCCTGCAAATAAAAGAACTAAATGTCAAATGTCATGATAACACTCGTTATTCCAAATCTAGGTTTTTCGAAGTACTTGTAATCACTAACATCAAGACACTCACCTCAACAAGCTTTGAAATTTTTTGTTGGGATGCATCAAGATACTGTTGAATTGATTCTGCGGTATTAGGTGCTTGGTGAGGTTGCGTTGTGCTAAGGACCTTATCAACTGCCTTTTTAACAATCACTTTGTGAGCATCCTTGCTCAGGTGACCCTCACGCCAGGCTGGTTTCACCAATTCTTTCACAAAATCTATAAGAGCAGCACGAAAATGTTTCAGTGCTTTTGATTCCTTCTGCTCCCAATCTGTCTTAAGATCAACATCCATTTCATTGCTTTGTCTGCCATTATCTACTTTTAATTCATTCTTGTGTCTCAGGCCATCCTTTCGAAGTCTAAGATCAGATTCAAGATTTATTTTGTTTGCCTCTGTAATATCTTTGGCATATGCAGGAGTCAAGAGCTTCTCTTCTTTGGGCAAGGTATTTTTATTTTTCTGTTCATCATGAGAAATTCTCATGGCTTCTCCTTCAGTCCTAAACAAATTCTTTCCATGAAAGTTCTTGTCCAACATATTGTCATGGACTTCATGATGACCAGATATTGAATGCTTATATGAACCACATTCAGGGCCAAGGGACCTTGTCAAAGCAGGATCACCATCCATAATCAGATGCGTATTTGTGACGGATTTCTCATGTGTGGAAGAAAGTTTTGAGAAACCATCTCCCAAGTTAGGTTGCTCGATGCTGTCACGAATGGGGTCATACAGGCTTCCTGGAGATGATGGGCTTTGAGGAATAAAAAATGATGATCGAAAACGAACAGATGGCTCCCAATCATTAGAAGAAATTTTTGTTCTATGTCCACTAATAGGCAGAGGACCCCCAGAAACGTTGGTCACAGAAAGATTTTCTGATTCAGAGCCAGAAAATCGCAAAGAGCTTTGCAGCCAAGATGAAGATCTAGAAGCATGATATTCTCTATCACTGTCTGAATGCTTTGGGGCACCAAGGGAATCTGTACCCAAAGAACTAAAAGAGAAGGACGACCTTGTCCATGCTGGGATATGCTGTGATGGCAATATGCCAGCAGTTTGAATAGAAGGGCTCAAACTTAAATTCGGTGAACGACTTAAACCAGGGGAACTACGATCGTGCAGCATAAACTGGCTTCTCCTAGCAGCCATATCTTCGAAACTGGTTGCATGAGAGGGAATCACGGTGCTTCGGTAAGTATCTGAAGATATAACTGAATTATTTGCGAGAGATCTCTGCTCAGGAAAACAGCTATTCCTAGAGATTGGATAATCATCCGAGGACCAATTATGTGTCAGATTCTCTCTTCCAACATCCTTAAAAGAGGAAGTTGACCGAGCTTTATCTTTATATACAGGTGACTGCAGGGAATCAGGAGAAACACCACGAGATAAGTCCTCTCTTTGAAGAGACAAAATCTTATGCTTTTCACTGACGCCATGCCACCTTGGGCTTTTTCCATGCTCCCATGATGATGTCCTTTCCAAAGAAAATGAAGAACTACGTGCAGCTGAAGAAGCTGCTGCATTTGGAAAATCAGCTGACTCTGATCTCTCAGTACCATCTCTCAAACCTGATACAGGAGAAGGTACTTGTTAGAATCATCGCGGCAAAAAGATTCTTGGACATTATTACTCCACAAAGAAAAATGAATTACCTCCATCAGCCTGCAATTCACTTTTCTCATTCAAAGTTGCTACATCTCCCTCGGGCTTTTGGCAAATGTTATTTATATCATCCTTTATGTGAAGGAACCTACATGAATTCCCTTTGATGCACCAGCCTTTAGCAAAAAAGTCACAAATGACTGCAGGTCGTTTGCTTCCGTCGTTATACCCGGCCAATGGGGACAAACTTCTAGGTCTTACCTGGGGAACAGCCAATCTGGAAAATCTAGCAATCATTAAGAAATGGTTGTGCGGAAAAGGTATATTTAGCTACCATCACAAATAGATTAAAATCAGCACAAGCTAACACTTAAGTTCTATAAGTAAAGTTAGGAGTATACTGAATCACTATCACCACACCTTGTTGGCCCCTGATTTATATCCTCCTGAGACTGCGTGCCAATTTGCTTAATTTCTGCACCACAACACACAACACCATTAGCTTCCTCACTAAACCCATCTCTAACTGAAAATTGCAGGGGCCACTTCTTTACCAGAAACATTGAAAGGTTTGGTGGTCTCAGCAGTCATAATCCCACTGTCACGCTGAGAAGCCTTCCCATCATTACACACATCATCATCCTTAGGGGTTATCATTTTTGGAAAGTCCCCAGAATCTTTCTTGTCACCAACAAATTCAAGGAGTCCATCATCCTTTGAAGCAACCTGATGTATCCCCATGTTCGGACTCTTAGGATCCTCGACATTGACGGTTGATTCCCCTTTTTGTCTTGTCTCTCCCGCACCAGAAAATTTGGAATTGTCAATACCACCTTCTACTGCAAGGCTATCTGCTGGTAGATTTACTACAGATTTTTCTGGATCAGAAGAACCTGATCTCAAGTGCTCTTCATGCCCCTTGGACTCCATACCTTGGCTAACATCTACATGGAAGAAACATCAAAAATCACAGGGCAAACATTTCCTATAAACAAATGCTTGCAGCCAAACATAACAAAGGTTGGTTTCTAAGAGATGATTCTAAGTGTCTATTTAAACAAAACTCAAATCAAATGTCTTCTTTTTTTATTCCAATAAAAAATGGAAAATTAAAAGAAAATATGAACCGAAACGATTACTACTATGAACAACGAGGTAGACATCAAATTCCACGTTGATCTCAACTTCATTACAGGAAATGAGAATGAGCCAGAACTCTAGGTAATGATGTAAATGACTGCCGATTTAGCAACAAACTGCATTTTTCTTAAGAAAAGTATAGACATAGTTGGCATTGTACTTGGGAAAGGTTAATATTTCGAATTGATCAAGCTTCTCCATGAACCCACCAAAAGATTTTGTGGATAAGCATTGTTCAGCTACATTAATGCCTGCTGAATCCAGGTATTAACTGTGTGATTAAAAGAGTGGCAAAACTATTGTGATTAAACTTGAGAGTGAAATCATAGTTCGGGAGGAAGTACTTTTCCCAAATAGTGACACATAAGGACATTAGAATGCTTGTTTGATTTACTGGAAGGATCAATCATAAAAGCATTTTTCTTATTCGAGCAATTGATGGAAAGATTCAAATAAAAGATGAAAGACATTTTCAAATGGTATTCATTATTGGGGGAAAACATAAATATAGATTCCCTAGAGAATTAATGTGTTTGTATTTAAAAAAAAATAGTGCATTGGTTACATATTATTACTGCAACGGAATACATGCCCCATGGAGCAGTAAGTAGCAGGAGAACAAATAGAGGGAAAGTAAGAGAATTTCCAACTAAACTAAACTGATATCCAGAGACCATCATTTAGCCCATGCCTAATTGCTTTAGTCATGGATGAACTTGCTAGGAATAATCAAGAGGAGCTCATGTGGCGCATGTTGTTTGGGGACAATAGTTTCTGTTGATAAAACTAAAAAACAGTTTATGATGGAATAAAGAAAAACCTACAACCCTAACAGAATAGATGGAATACAACTTTTGTAATGCCAGGGGTAGAAGCAACAGAATTGACAGGAAAAATGAGTCTTGTACCCTTGGTCTTTGTGTTGGCAATTTCATTCAAAAGATTAAGTCTGCAATTTTATATTAGCTTGGTTGAGTCTCTTGAGCAATCCCGTAGTTGGAAGTTGAATATTGAAGTTGAAAAACTATGAGCATAAAGACAACATAGAAAGACTCTAAATAGAAGTTAAAACCTAAGTAGCACAGACACAAACACAGACACGGGACACATTGATTTTTACAAAATGCAGGACACGACACGCTGGGACATGTTAAATTTTTATAATTTTATAAATTTATTATATGTCATATATATAAATAATTTATTCAAAGACAATAAAAAAAATGTAACACAATACACTTTTTGCATTAAAAAGTTGTTAATTTCATAAATTAAACATCAAGATATCAATCACGCAATTACATTCTAAACGTATTGACGTATCTAAATCATATTTCGTGATTTTTTTTGGTTTCCTTGTTCCGTGAGGGTTTCTATTGCTTTAAATAAAATTCTTTGTTTTCTTCTATAAATAGAAGACTTGACTAACATGATAGGGTTACATAACATATAGATACAATAGGAGACTCCAGAGAACTTCCTATAGTCCATTATATCTTTCTTATTCTTGAGAGTGTTGAGTTTTTTTTTTTTTATCTTGGAGGTTTAAATCTATTGAGTGGCAATGGGTTAGACTCTGCAATCATAGAGATTTAGTTCATGCACACAATCGATTGCTTGGTGTTAAATATCTTGAAGATCGGCTACGGAATTGCTGTTAGGGTTAGTGGATAAGGTCCGCATCTAAATCTTATAAGTTTGTACTTGATCTTTAGTTACAAGTAGGTTCATTTGTGTCCATAGTTAATCTAAATTTGGTTATGTTTGTGGTTAATCTCAATTTGGATTTTCCGTGTGAAGTCCTTGTCTCTTCATGATCCATTTTTTTTTTTCTTTTTTTTATATTCTTCATATTTATCTCGCTTAAATAACTTCAAATAATATGGGATTAAATCTATTGGTTTACAAGATTAATGTTCTATTCTTTTAACTAAAGAAAATTGAGATTATTTGCAGACTCCTAAAAACTCATTTTTCAACATTTGCCCTCAAGGCTTGTGAAATTGATGTTATTTTTTATAAGTGAATTTGGAAATTCATGATGATGAGATAAATCAAGATAGATTGTCCAAGGGTGATCTAAGTAGAGTGAAGTGGATGTGGGTTTAGTAAAAAAACGACATGAGTTTTACAAATTAGTTGTTTTCCATAATCAACTCAATATTTATTTTTTGTATAAGACTAAGAGGTTGTTTGTTACGTACTGCTTTTTTTGTTTTGTTTTCAAAAAATTTGAAAACTTAGGTACCGTTGGCAACGTTTATAGTTTTTTTATTAAAAAAAAAAAAAAAAAAAAAAAAAAAAAAAAAAAAAAAAAAAAAAATCAAACATGTTTATGTTTATTTTGAGTAAAAACGAAAACAAAAAACTTGTTTAGTACACAAGTATTTTAAAATTTTGTTTTGAAGACAAGTAAAAATGGGGGCTACAGGAGGTGGTTGTCGAAGGATTGAGATGGTGGTTGGAGTTGGAGGTGGTTGTCGGCCGCGAGAGATGGTTGCCAACTGTGAGAGATAGTTGGCAATGGCTGCAAGTGGTTGCTAGCCACGGGAAGTGATGGCCGAAAGTGATTGTCAATGGTTAGAGATGGTGGCCAGTCGACCATTTAAGGTGGTAGTTGAAAATGATTTTGAAGAAAAGGTTGTGACCGGAGGTGGTCACTGCCGGTGGGAGGTGGTTGGTGGCAATGGCAAGTGGTTAGTAGTTGAGGGAAGTGGTGCCTAAAGGTGGTAGGTGGAGGTCATTGGCGATGGCAGTCGGTAGCGATAAGCAACGGGTGGTAGTCACAAAAAGTGGGAAAAAGAAGAAGAAAATGAAAATTTAACAAAAAAAGATAAACCAACTTTTTTGTGTTTACAAAATTAATTGTTTACAACTTTTTAAAAACGAAAACAGAAACCAAAATGAAAACTTGACAATATTACCAATCACCACCTATGTTTTAAGCTCTTAAGGACTATAGAGGCTAGGGTTGCACTATGTTTTTTATACTAAAAAACAAATTTCGTATTTATAGTTTTCCAAAATGTTTTGTAGGGATTCAAGAATCCACTTATCCACTTAAGTGAATTTCTAAGCGTAACTTGCAAGATTTTCATTTTGTAAAACCAATGCCACCCGGCACAAACTCACTTCAAGCCAACTTTGATTGCACCTCTTAGGATTTTCATATTGCAAACTCAGTGTCACCTTTTAGCCGACTATGAGTTGTGCCATCAAGACTTACCAAAACAGTCTAGTTTTAAGTCAACAAGTGCCCAAAGCACATAGGTAATTGAAAGGCAGGCAATATAAGGTCAATTTAATGTCAATTTAAGAACTAAACATGTGTACTAAATTAATGCCATATGCTCATGCAATCATACCAGACATTAAATCAAGACACGCTTTGCATTGTCGCTAGCATCTTTGATCATTATCACTTAGACACTTACCTGTACACTTACCTAGACACCTAACACGTTCTGACTACTAAATTTGCCAAGACACTAATCCTGTAACACTTCCCACTAGGACATATCCTTAGAGGAGCTATAGGAATGGCCAATGTATGCTATGAAATTTTATACATGATAAAACTATAATGGCAAAGGTTAAGACTTGGCTTAATAACCTTGAGGTTATGGGTTCAAGTCTTGGAGCCACCACTTTGAGTCTTGGAGCCACCACTTTGTGCATTATGCCAAAGGTTAGGTGTGTACTCAATCTTTCCCCTCCCAAACACACATTAATGTGTATTAATTGGGCCTTTTTATAAAACTACAATGACAATTCTATATATTTTATGCACGTATGATATAATCACATTCTTTCCATATGCCTATTCTACTATTTATTTCTTATAGCATGCTTGCTCTACAATTGAAATTCCATATATACTTCACACACGCTGGCATGGTGCATTGCCAATTAATGCTAATTGGCATCCACATCACGAAAACTTTCCCTCCGCCAAGGAGAGGCAATAAAAAACATCTCAAAGAACACATGGATAGCCTCAAATTCCTAACCTTGCAAAGCCCTAATGAAGGAACTCCAACACCGTATGCCATTCCAAGAACCAAACATGGTCCATAATGTGTTTTCCTTGATTACAGGCAATGCTAAAAGTCAAGAACAACTTCCTCAAAAAGATCCTTGCATCAAAATATCAAGCTCATAGTGTATCTACTCCAAAGCAATAGTGGTGTTGTACTTTTGCTATTAATTTCCAGAAAAAGAGACAGGGGAGAGAGAGAGAGAGAGAGAGATGATCTGGATCTCCATTTTGTTGCCGCTTCAAATCCCACTCTTCCACAAAGAAGCCAAGAAAACTCAAAAATCCTTGATTTGGTCACTTTTCAATTTGGTATAACTATAAATTATTCACACCTTCTATAGCACATTTCACCGAAGGATCATCAACTTAGTATAGAAACATCTATGCAACATGTATTGCAAACTTTACCTAACTAAATCTAGTATGAATCACTCGTTCAATTACATGTGTATAAGACAAAATTTATGTAGATATCTATTATGTTCTCAAGGAGCCATGCTCTTGAAAAATTCAAGACTTCGATGCTATCATGCTCTTGATATCGCCATCACCTCAAATTCATATGACAGTTCAAGGTTTGAATGGGATGGGAACCACCCAATCCCACCATGGAGGAGTTCCACAACATAACATGAAACCTGCCGCGGTCTTTTGCCCCATCCACTAATTCCAATATAGATCGCCTTCTAGCTATGTTACCCGGACTTGGGTATGTTTCCAAAAGTCAGATTTGCATATTATTTTAATTGTAGGATACAAGGATTC